GCTTTTCCCTCAGCCCTGGGCCCCAGCCTGCCATCCGCTGCAATGCATGCCAACTCTCCAGTGGAGATCAAGATGTCGGTGGAGAGCACGAGGAGCAGAGTCTTGGTGCAAGGTGCTGGGTGTGTGCACACCCACTCTGCTGGCCAGAGTTCTGGATGTAGGGATTCATAGAGCTGGCGTGCTCAGCTCCAGAAGAATAGACAGCTGCTTTAGCACTAACTGGTGGTGGGAACCTGGGAGGCCTTAGGAACCCTCATCTGGCCCGTCACCCTCAGTGTATAGCTTAAACATCAAACCTGACGAGGAAGAGGACGACCCTCAGGCCACACTGCTGGAAGAGTTGCTGGCCTAGTTCTGCACTGGGCCAGCGTTTTCTAGTACCTTTCCCTCTTCATCAAGGGAACTCTGCACAGCAGCTCCGTTCTCCGTCTCTCAGCCCCGCTGGCCCGAGCAGCCCTGGTTTCAGGATCTGTGTTTTTTTTACTTTTTAATTTTTTTTGCTCCATCTTCCCACGCTTTCTCTAGAGGTTCTTTTGGGAAGTGCTGCCTTTAGTCTGTCTGTAATAAAAGCCTTCAGGATTCCTTGTCTCCCTGCACACCACAGGCATTATCTGAGACCCACAGGGCACAGTAGCCACAGCTGTAGTTACGGTTCTGGCCCTCAGCAGAGGAAAAGAAAACAGCACGTTTGAGTGAGATATTATACACTTAGGAAAATAAGGGGTATTTGTTTTAAAGATAAAAGTACAAATTTAGGACACATGGGAAAAGTCGAAATACTAATTTCTTCACTCAGGCCTTCTGAGATACTGTTCAGGAGTTTGCTTAGCTTAGTGGAAAGGCATCAGAAGTTGAGCATGAGTGAATGTCTGTGAAGAGCGTGGAAAGACTTCCTAATAAAGTCAGTCCACAGCTTTTCCACACCCATTGTAACCCCATGACAAACAGCAACCGACCTTCAAAATTATGCTTGTGGAAGCATGTGCCATGCCACCCAAGGTGCTTTTGATTTTCTGTGCTCAACTAGCCCCGGAAAGTGCAATCATTAATGTTAATGGACTGATTTGGGAGGGCCTTGATCGTAAAGAGTTGTTTACTGAAATGTTTTAATGCGGTGGTAATTAATATAATGTCGATTTCATCGCACTTGTAATTAAGACCCACTGTGTGTGCTTTTAAATACAGGCACAGCGTTCTTTGCTTTGGGGCGAGCCTTTAAATAGCTTGCTTTCCGATGGAACTGAGCTGATGTCAGATCTTGCCATGAGGAGATGGAAGTAATCTAGAACTTCTGCTGCTGGTCTTGCACGCATAGCCGAGGTCCATCGTTTTGCTTTTGGCTTCTAGGTTTTTGTTTTATATGGCTTTCCATTCACTCCCTTTAAATATCTCATTCTGTAGTAAACTGCATCCCAAATGCTCAGGGTTCGAAGTGTTACCCATTTCAAAATCTAAGAAACCTATTTTGCATGGCAGTTGAGGTGGCTCAGTGGCCTCCTGCCCAGCCTGACGTCTGAGTTTGAACTGTGGGACTCAGCATGGTGGAAGGAGAGAACCGATTCTCTCGAGCTGTCCTGTGACCTCCGTGCGCGTGTACACACACACACACACACACACACACACACACACACACACACAAGTATAAACATTTAAAATAGGAATATTGGTGCGTATATATGCTGAGATGAAGTATTTTGGGGATGGAACCCAAGCCTGAACAGAATCTCTTCATGTTTCACATGTGCCTTATATCCATACCCTGCAGGTGATTTTATATAGTTTTTGGCTACAGTTAATCACAAGAGGTCATACATTGAATTTTCCGCTCGTGGCTCATGCCGGTCCTCAGAAAGCTCCAAATCTTGAGGCATTTTAGACTTTGGGTTTTCAGATTAGGAACATGCAATCTGGATTCAGTTTTATTCTTTAAAAACTCTTTAACCCCAGCACTTGGGAGGCAGAGACAGGCAGATCTCTGTGTTTGAGGCCAGCCAGGACAGGCTCCAAAGCTGCAGAGAAACCTTGTCTCAAAACCAACAAAAACAAACAACAACAACAACAACAACAAAACCACCAACACAACACAAAACAAAACACAAAAAACAACAGCAAACTCTTCAGCCATGTTGTTCATTAGCTTTATAATATTTATTATTTTACTTTGTTTGTATGAGTGTTTGGCTCCCATGTATATTTGTGCTCCTCACTTCCAGTTTAGGCTGACCATGATCTTTCAATCCTCCTGCCTCAGCTTCCTGAGTGCTGAGACCTGAGACTCCAGGCCTGTGCTACCATGCCCAATACCACCTTAGCAGTTTCAAAGTTAAGCACATTTGAGTTTTGTTTTTGGTTTGTTTGGGTTTGTTTTTTCAAGACAGAGTTTCTCTGTGTATCCTTGGCTGTCCTGGAACTCGCTTTGTAGACCAGGCTGATCTGGAACTTACAGAGATCTGCCTGCCTCTGTCTCCCAAGTGCTGGGATTAAAGGCTACATTTGTTTTTAAATCTCCTTTGCCCCCATCACTGTATTTAAATAAATTATATTCTCCCTGCCGTTTGGAGGTTTGTTTGTTTCGTGGTAGTTGCTGTTCTCTCTCCCTGCTTCTCTGTAGGGTTTGGGATGTGAGAGAGTTTGGAGATTATTTTTAGTTCAGTCTTTACACTAACAAGGACCCAGGCCAGAGAGTTCCGTTCTAAGGCTTATTAGTGCCAAAGCCAGGATCCGTTCTCTGGATTCCATGTCTGGTTTTGTTGCTGTTTGTTTTTCTTTTCTTTTCTTTCTTTCTGTCTCTAATTGTCTGTGAAACTGAGTCTCGGATTTGGATTTTGCTCCCTAATGCCCCATTGTTTTTGTTTTTTTCCTTTAAGAATAATCTAGCTCTTTTATGCAAAGCTTTGTCTTTTACACACACACACACACACACACACACACACACACACACACACGCCCCCCCCCCAGGCTTATTGAGTAGAAGATTCCTAGATTTGTCAAACATTTTTTTCCTTCCTTTTATAGCAGTACATCCTATTAAACTTTTAAGGAAGCCGCAGATTTGGTGCACCGACAAAAGCCTTGTCTGCAGAAGTGTGCCCTTGTGCGAGGCCTTCTTCTCTGATTTCCCTGCTAGATCCCAAGCATCCCTTCCAAGTCTAGGGTTCTCAGAAGAGGAGCAACAGAGCCAATACCGCCCCCAATACTGCCCCGCTGCTTTAGACGTGTTACTGGGGAGACTGACCAGGGCGTTGATTGTACCAGTGTGTTGTCATGAACGGCCTAGACGCAGCCGCTCGGTCTCTGGCTCGCTCGCTCGTTTCCCCTGCTTGCTTGCTGTTTTTGCCGCATTTTTTGGCATATCCATGCCCTCCTCCCACTCACCTCGGGTTCCTGCTGAGCCCCCTCCCCCACACCTAGTGAGAACCATCTGCTCTGCACAGTTGCCTAGTTAAAATTTAGGTGTGAAAACTCACACACACTCACATGACAGAAAAGCGCAGCCGGATGGTGCCCGAGACTGAGCCAAAATTCTTACTTAAGTAACGTTAGCGTCCCCACCCCCACCCCTTATAACTGGGGGGAGCAGCATAGTGTCTCATTTACAAGTCGTCCCTCTGGTTTCGGTGATGGGTATTTGGTAGCCAGGTCTTGTCAGTGACCCCCCCCCCAGCTCTGTACCTTTTTCTGCTTTTCGTCTCCTGGTTTTGGGGGTGGTCTGTCTGCGCCTGCTCCTTTTCACTAAGTAGGGATCCCCAAAAACATTCAGCAGCTCAGTCGCCCTTTTAATATTTTCCCTTTAGTTCCCTTACTTAGTAATAATGAGTAATAGTGCTTGTGTCTTGTTCCGCATCGACCAAGGCTTTCCTTGGCCTAAACGCTCACTTCTGTGGCGTGATTTCCTTCTGCCAGGCGCCTTTGCCCTCTTTGTGGAGAGCCGTTGAGGCATTGAGTGTACTCTTGGAAAGTCTCTCCCACCCTGTTTTAGTGTCATGCACTGTGGTTTGTTTTTCCTTTTCTGAAATTATATTGTCACCTGCATTTGGAGTTTAGTGTTTTTCTCTTTAAAGAGATTGGAATTTTAATTACATGTGGCCTTGTTCTGCATCACCAGGACTTGTACCAAGGGGGAAGTCCCTAGGATAACAGTCTTGGTCTCTTACCCCTTCGTAACTGGCTATCCACCCAACTCCACCCACGCAGCTTCTCATGCTCTCTGCTCTGGTGCTTCTGGAAGCTTCTAAGAACTTTGAGTGGCCTACGTGAAAGCATGGCAGTGTCCCGTTTTGGCATGTGTATGTAACACTTGTAATTTATGCCCTGCCACGTCTCCAAGGAATGTGAGGCGGCGTACGGTGAAAGGAGGAGCTAGCTAACCCATCCTGTGGAACAAACATACTGTTAGAAAACCACCAGGGAAATCAGAAACATTGAAAGGAATCTGTAACAACGTTCCTAGAAAACAACAACAACAAGACTCCTAGAAATAGAGAAAGAAGAACACAGCCTTCAAACTAACCATCTTGCTGCTCCGGACTAGTGAAGAAGTTTAACTGTGATCCCAAAGCATTTTGCCTAATAGCAAAAATCACCAGCATTATTTCTCATTGCCCCACACCCCACACAATTTTGTTTGTTCCGACGTAGGGAACACAGGGGGCTTTGTCACTTCTTGGTGCCGATGCCAGGCTCTGCAGGCTGGCTTCACCGTTCAGATTTGCTGCTAGGGCTCCTGTGTATTGATCACCTGCCGGGTGGCAGACACTTAGCCCGGGGTTGGGTCTGTGCTGTCTCGTTTGGATCTCATCATTATGCTGAGGGATAGACAGCGCTCGCTCGGCGTTAGAGATGAAGAGAGCAGGGTGTAGGCTGGTAATTAGGTCAGCGGCACCCAGGTAGTCGACGCAGGGGCGAGTCCAGCTACTAAGCTCAGTTATTCCCCTTGTTCCTCCCTGATCTGTCTTGGTACCCTTCTGTTGCTATAACAAGTACTTGAGACAGTCCCTTTATAGAGTGTAAAGGTTTATTTTAACTTTAGAGTCCATGATTGGTCAGTCCTGCTGCTTTGGGGCCTGCGGTTGGAGCCTTTGTGGCAGGAACATGGAGTAGAGCAAAGTCACTCGCTCCACGCCCTGACAGTGAAAGAGCTTATGAGGCATCAGCCGTGGTCCCCAGTTCCCGCAAAGGCGTTGTGTGACCTGAAGCACGCCAGGCTCACTTGTCCCAGATCCATCAGCACCCAGTCACGTCCAAAGCTTTTAACACGACTGTTTCGGGGAGACCGTGTGGATCCTAATGGTAGAAAAGTTCTCCATTGTAGCCTCCGTATTTACCCTTTCTTCTGGGTTTTGCTCAGCACATGGTTTCCTATTGGGATTGAAGCAAAGGATTAAGAGGTTGCAGTCATTTGAGCATGTGTATGTGTATACAAGGGTAGTTCTTTCGTGTCTTAGGATTGGTTAAGTCCAGTGGGCGACTTAGCACTCTTCCGTGTTGGAGGAGGGGAGAGGGAGCCGGGCAACAGGGGAGTGAAGGTGAGCAGCTGCTGGCCGCTCAGCTGTTGGTTTGAGGGAGTAAGGTGCTAGCAGTTACCAAGACGTGCACTTACAATGTGTTGTCTCCAGTAGCTTCCGGCAGCCTTTGGTAAAGTGATTTTAATCCCAGTTAGGAGATGGGTAAACTGAGGCTCGGAGGAGCGAGGAAGTTTGACCAAAGTCATCCGAGCAGAAAATGGAGCCATCAGTGTCCTATTGATAATACACATTTATGTAATCCCAAAGCTCACAATCTTCCTCTCGTGCATGCCCTAGTTTCTAATATCCACACATAAACTCATTATCAAGCTCTCACTGTCATGCCATTTAATCCTTACCCAGCTTGAGGAACTGAATACATTCTGTGTCCATTTGTCAGGTGAGTAAATTGAGGTAGAAAGTTGATCAGAGTCAGAGACTAGAAAACCGGGCATGGTTTCTGTTCAGTGCGCTTGGAGTGTGCTGTTAGAAGTTTCGACTGAATAGAGCCATGCTCTCATCTCTCATTATCTGAACAGTGAGAGGCAGAAGAGCTATCTAGAGAGTTTTTAGATTTTGGGGACCTTTAGGTAAGTGTGTGTAAACAGAGAATGCTTTTCTCTGAGGAATTGCTTGAGACTAGAGTATGGACCTCTGCAGCCTGGGATCCAGCAGAGTCGTTGAGATAAGAATGGCTGGTGACTGTCTCTACCTCCACAGCCTGACTAAAGATAGCAGAACGAGTCCTCCCAATGACCAGGCCACATCCCCCTCCCGTTGTGCCCTCACCGTGCCCCCCAGAGTACAGCAGGGCGTCAGCCATCACTGTTCTTACCTGCTGTTCTTACGCCTATTGTGCTGTGGTGGGGTGCGGGCCCCAGTGTCCCCCGTTTGCTTTTGGGACCAGGAGGCAGCGTATTCCAGGGCCTTTGCAGTTTACACAGCCACTGCCTCCCTCCACTGTCCAGTGTCAAGAGGGAGCGTCATGGTGTAAGTCTTGGCTCTTGTGCAGCTGTGCCACAGGAAGGTTGTATGAAGTGGTGATTCAGAGCTCACGTAGTCTGGATTTTAACCCCCTTTGTGTCCATTGCTGTTCGTTTAACAGAGCTCCATTATGACCGAGAAAAACTCGGGATTTGACGACAGCTGGCTCTGACTCTACATTCTGATCTTTACTAGTGTCTGTGGCCTTGGGGAACTTACTTGACCTCCCCAGGCCTCAGTTTCCTCCTCAGGAGAAAGAGAATATTTGATAAGCACCCTGTGTGCAGCCTGGCTCAGGGCAGGTGCTGCTCACTGTGGAGGCCCTGCCGTGAATGTCACAAAATGCAAAGGCGATGCTAAGATGTGGAAGGTTGGGGTTTGCTTTGTTCCAGTAGCAAATGGTAATTCCCCTGCGGACTTCTTCATGCTGTTCCTATGCAGACCGGGGAAGACAGTGTAATAGTGTTTTCTGTAAGAAAATATAGCTCTTTGTTCCCTTCAGCAGACAAAAGAAACTCATTATCATATCAAGTGGTGACTGTTGCTATTGAAATGGTTTATTTGTGTGTGTGTTTTTTTTTCTCTGTTTCTCTCCTAGGGATTTATTTGTGGCTTTTCAGTAGCAACAGGTGCAGCAGCCAGACTAGTGTCCGGGTATGACAGCTATGGAAATATCTGTGGGCAGAGAAATGCAAAGCTGGAAGCAATACCCAACAGTGGCCTGGACCACACCAACCGGAAGTGAGTAGACCCTTGCCTGATGAATGGCCTGAAAGCGTGGAGGGAAGCAAAGGAAGGCTTGACTTTCTTCCTACCTCAGGGGCGATATCTATGGGATGTTTTGTAACCTTTCTGTGAGAGGTTTCTTTGTTGTTGTTTTCACGAGTATTTAATCACTTCTGCTACCATTTAACAAATACATTCTCCAGGAAACAAAATTAAATGCCTTGCTAATGGGCCACTTTGAAGTTTTAGTGGATAAAGAAATCCTCAATTTGAAAGTGTCCCTGTTGTACTGTCTCCCTGTTAGCCTTTAGATAATGTTCTATCCCTAAAGCCAGAGAATAAGGTAATGTTTTCCTTATTAAGGAGACAGGCGGATCATAATGGATATTAAAGCCTTAAAATTATAAAGTAACATTTTGTGATGCATCATTTATAAGTACATAAGGCTTTCCGGTTCCATAAAAGCTACGTCTTCTTTGACAGACTGTAAAATTTGCTTTGGGTTCTCACTATGCATCTTTAGGATTTCCTGAAACTCCTGACTTTAATTGTCCTTTTTCTTCAACAGCTATTGTTTCATTTCTAATGTCAACAAGGAAAATACATTTCATCCAGTAAGCACATTCTATGATTGCTGTGTGGTGTTTTTTTTTTTTTTTTCAGGCTGTGAATATATATATACCATCAAACTTCATTATGTTATGAACCAGGTCTTCAGAATTAATAAAATTAATTGCAAGATAACAAGGCTAATTAGTCTATTATACTTTATAGAAACGCTCAGATCAAAACACATTGAGATTGTAGCAAGCATCTTCCATGAAGACAATTTGTAACTCATTATTATTATGTGGATCAATTGGCTTAATCCTGCCCCCTCTGTATAAGGTCAACTTGATGATTTCACAGTCTTGAAGAACTTTGGATAGTTATCTTTTCTGAGAGAAGTCCTCCCTCTAATGAGGAAGAGATCACTTAAGTCAAATAAACAAAATATTAAGTAAAAACAGTGAACATATTTATACCATCTCACAGTTGACTAGCAACTACTACTCTGTGAAGCCAGAGTAACAAACGCTTAGACAGGCTCCAGTGAGGCCAAGTGGCTGGTTGGTGGATCGCAGAGGCTCCAGAGCATCTTTCCTGAAGTCCAGCTGCGTCCTGCATCCTGCATCCCTTCAGAGGAGTGGGAACTGAGTCTTAGCAGTTGCGAAAACCGGCTTCATTTGCGCTTTTTTTATAATTGCCTTATGAAATTAGTACACATTTCAGGCCTTGGGTCAGTTTTTATACTGAGCGTACCTTTATCTTTTTTGTTGACTTTTTATTTTGAAATAATCTTGGACATGTAGAAGTTGAAAAGCATGAATTTGTTTTGTATCTAAGATGGCACCCGGGTCATAAGATGTCCTTAAAATCCCCAGTGCTGTTAAAATGGACAAAGTATATGATGCTATAAACTGGGGACATTGAAAGCAGAGGGTCTCTTACTTAAGTCCACTGTCCTCATGGCTCCCTCATGAATGCCAGTGACTCTGGCCATGTTCCTACTCTAAGACATGCGGGTGCCACTCTCCACCACCAGCCCTGTGGTGTTCACCAGGCTTGGGGAGTGTGGGCGTGGGGCAGGTTCCAATCCTTCTCCCTTTTTTATTTATACTTTAGCCTCTGTCAATAGAAATCGTATGTTATTCTGAGAAGAGTCACTTTTCTCTGAGTATTTGCCTGTCGTCAAAAGCCATTCATGTTTGACTGCAGGGAAAATGGTTTTCCAAGTAGTTTCTTCTTGAGTCATCTACATATATTTAGCATGCTTTTTGTGCCCTCTTTTTTTTTTTTTTTTCTGAGACGGGGGCTCACATAGCCCTGGCTGGCCTGAAACTCTCTATGTAGACCAGGCTGGCCTTGAAATCACAGAGACCACCAGCCCTCTCCTCCCCTCCCCATGCTGGGGTTTGAAGATGTGCCCACTCAACGCGTTTTTAATCCCTGCTTCATCTCCTCTGCACCTTTTCCGTGTGGTCCAGCCAAATATCTCTGTCTGTAAATGGTAACGGCTTTCACGGCTGCTAGAATCTTGGAACTCTATTTTCAGGTAAGTCTATGTATTTGAACTTGTGACAAGCAGGCAGCATTCTTTGTAATAGTCCACTCTCTTCCTGCCACCTGTATCGACTGCCGACATCTGTCGTCATCTCGGTCCTTCCGTCGTTACTGGTACCCTCACACCCGCCGTGTACACGGACACCACGACTGCTTCCTCCCAGCCTCCATCATATCTGTCCAATGCAACAACAAATCCTCTAAAATCCTTTCCTGAGTATCGTCTCTTCTGTTACAGATTTTTTTCCTCCCCATTTTCCATGCAGCCAATCCTTCTCCTCCTCTCTCTCAGCAGAAAGGTCACTTCCAGAGAAGTTGTCGTTGGCTTCACAAGTTAAACTGTGAGGCTGACATTCTGCCTACCGAACGAAAAATGCCTCATCACAATTTTAAATAACCACTTGAAAGCACACTCTTCTTGTGGCCTGTAATCTAAATAATTACACGTGTTTTTGTTTGTTTGTTTGTTTGTTTGTTTTTGGTAATTTGTTAAAGGGTGCCTCTCCTAAATGTGGCGAAGGCAGCAAGGCCTGCTCTTCCTTTTCCAGCACTGAATCCTTAGATCCCAGCCCAGTGTTAGGAATGAAGTAGGCAATCCATTCAATGCTTGCTGCATGAGTGAATGAATTCACTCTAAGGAGTGAATTACTGAGTTTGAGAGTCTGAATATTTTAAGATTATTAATGCATATTGCTGAATGGCTTTCCATAAAGACTGTTGCTTCTACATTCCCACCAACAGTGTCTAAGATTGCTTTATCTTTGTTAGTATTACTAGTTTTTCTTCTTTACTAATTTGATAAATGACAGAATAGTGCTTTATAGCTTTAATTTGTATCCTTTGGCTATTAGTGTGAGCGAAGCCCCTCCCCCTGCTTGTTGGCCTCTCCTGAAGACTGTTGCACTTAGCATATCTATTCTTGGCCTTCTTATCTGTAATCAGCTCCATCCTTTATGCTGTGATAGGATTAAGTTCTTGAAAACAGGGCTTTTATTTTGCCATTTTCCTCCTCAAGAGCCTTTGCTCTCCTGCTGTGGTCTACAGTGTCAAAGATGAGCCCACTCAGCCCCTGCCCTTGCCGGCTTTTGAGATCTGGACCCATTTCACCCACCCAGTCCCCTCCCACTGCTCCTCAATGTGGTGTGATACTGTCTGTGGCATTTGATTGATTCCACTTTTGTTCAGTTTCTTCTGCCTGTCTGCTTATCTGAATCTTTGAAACACTTATCCCAGGTCCCACAACTGACCTTTTTTATGAAGTGTTTCAAAATAACCCTGTCCCTAGTAAGTAGTAAGTGTCCCTTTACTGTGATTGCCTGAACTTCCCTGTCTCATAACTCGTTATTCTGTTGCCTTCAGTTTGCTTCCTAATTACATTGTGTTTCTCATGCGTCTGTTAATTATTGGTTGCTTAGTAACAATATTATTGTAAACTTAGTGGCCTAAAGCAAGACACATTTGTCATGTCAGTGTCTGTTGGTTCAGGAGACTAGTCATAACAGAAAAGCATCTAGAGAATCTCCTAGAACAATGGAAGTTATACCTTTCTGTAGTATAGTCATGGAAGTAATATTGTAGAAGAAAGTCTGCTAGCCAAATACAGGAAATTACACCTGTATCTGCTGTGATTGTGAAAGAGATGTATGTCATCTTTGCCATACTTTTGCTGGTGAGGCACAAATTTCAGGTCTCACTCAAACTCAAGAAGAAAGAATTGTATAAGAACATGAGTCAGGGATGAGGGAGGTCTCTGGAACTCTATCTGGAACTGCCATACTCTGTCTTCCCAAAAGCAACATTTTTTGTGTGTGTTTTTTGTTTGTTTGTTTTGTAATTCTCAGATCTGAGTACTACTGTTCCTTGATCCTCATGATTTATAATTTATTTAATTGTATTTATCACAGGTGGAAAGTCGGGAGAGAGATGGGAGAAGGGATCAGTTCTGTGTCATTTTAACCACATGTTTAAGATGCCACGATGGCTATGAGAATGTTCTTACTAGAAAAGAAAAATCTTGTTTATTGACCCTTCTAAATTGTAGTGTATTTTTTTCTCCTTTCCAGTAACACTTTGCGTGTGATAATGTATTTGTTGGAGTAACAATGTTGCACAGGCAACTGTCCCTCAGTGTTTATGCAGCACAGGAAAGCCTGAACTTTAGATAGAATTAAATTGATTTCTGAGTTGACTGCTGGAGAAACGTAAGACTCTCCTGCATAGAAGCAAAATCAGGGTCTAAGTCTGGGCCCACTCAGATAAGCTCATTTGTTACAGAGTCAGAGAGTTCTAAAATATGTGAGATCATTTATCTAACAACAACCTGCCAAACACTTGTGAAGGGAGAGTGACTCACCTTGTCGCTGAGCTATGGTGATGAAGCCACATATCATGGGTTGGGCTCAGAGCCAGACTTTTGATTGTAGGAGTGGGTGGTAAAAGCTGATTGGCAGCTCCAAAAATCATTCTCTCCTGACATTCGATTTTGGCCCATAATTTTTGGATCTACAATGTATGAGCATCCTTAGAATGTATAGGAAAGGTATTACTATGGTTATTATCATAAAGGAAAGGGTTTATTAGTCTCACAGGCTGCTCTGTTG